AATTACTTATTCTGCTTACATTCAAAACATCAGAAATTACTTATTCTGCTTACATTCAAAACATCAGAAATTACTTGTTCCGTTCACATCAAACATCAGAAATTACTTGTTCCGTTCACATTCAAAACATCAGAAATTACTTGTTCCGCTCACATTCAAAACATCAGAAATGACTATCTTGTTAAAAGTTTCCAAATTTCAACTCCAGACTTCTTCAATTTTTGGGTATTACTTCATTCCTATTCTAAACTATATATAAAAACGCTATCCAATATACGATGAGAATATTCTGCCATTTTTAGTAAGCTATGCCAAAACGTTTGCAAATGTTGATTAAAAGTTGTCTTTAGTATTAGAATAACATTTAATAAAAACAGTGCTAGTTTTATGGAAAACATAATTCATAACATCACATTCTATAGGTTCTGTAAGAGGATTGTATTTGTACTTGTTGATCGATAGCATGTTTCTACTCTCTGCATTATTTCATTTTGTCCCTCTGTAATGTTCATGGCGGGACATTAAAGAGATCTGAAGTATGTTTTGTGAACAGGAAGGAAGTCTGAAGTTAATTTAATCACTAATAGTTTTATATTTGTTTCATAACATTTACATTGAACATATCTTGGTTAAAAAATAAAATTCGAAACAAAACTCGTATGTTTAACCGATATTTTTCAATACTATATGTACAGTGTAAATGTTATAATGATGTATGTTCCACATGAAAACCTTTACATGAACCGCCTTTTCTAGTTCGCAAGAACAAAGTTACAATTACCGCGAGAAGACGGAATTCTCTGCCATCAGAAAACCTACCTTCAACAAGTCTCTTGTAAATATCCCGAAAGTTTGTAACGCTCTCAGTCATTGGATGCCCTTCAAGAAAAAAAATTAACAAAAATACTTTTGTGTATAGAGAGCTGGTTACTAAACGCGAGATGTTTCTTTTGAAAAAATAAATACTAATTCAATCCAGTAAATCAACTGTATTTTATTAAATTTGGCATCCATTCCGATCTTTAATCAGTAATTCCCTTTTATAAACCTAAACACGAAGAATATTTTACCTTTTAGGGCACAAAAATGTTATGTCATTTCAACAATCCCTTTATACTTGTATAAAGACACGCGTTAATAAAAGTTATGGTTGTAGATCCATATAAAACTTAGTTTATTACACATGATAATAATCACAGACCAATCTTAACAACTCATATGAATAATCATAAAATAATAACATAAAACCGTGTCATTCTGTTCAGATCAACTTAACGACATCAAAGGATAATTTATAGAGAACATAAACACCACTTTAATTACACATAAACAGTGGAACGGTTAGTTGAATAACAAGTTCAAGTTAGCACAAAGGTGTACTTGACACTTAGCGTTTCTAAAGAATGAATTTCATGTGCATACAAAACATATATTTTACAGAACTACGCTGTTTAGAATCATCACAAAAAACGTTTCTATTAACAGATAAGATCGAACGTAATTTAAACACAAACATCATTTTTCTTAATCGTATAATCTCAACATTTCCTTAAATGGCTATTAGCTCAGAATTCAGAGCTAACAAAAAAGGACGCCGTCATACAAGTTTAGGTTTAGCAGTATCAAATGCATATTTATTGTAAGAGTCCTAACTGCAAATGTATCTTTTAAGTCTTTTTTTATTTACGAATTCATACGTTTCCAGCCTATATTAAATGGATATTACAATGCATTTCATGAGATATAAATGTGGGTATTTACTACTGGAATTTCAAAAAGGAACTACACTTAAAACTTTCCATGTTAGTAGCCTTAAGTAATGAAAGAATCAAAGCTATTTGTTTATGTCTTGACATATCCTTTCCTCATCATCCATAGGTTTGAAAAACCTAAACGATATTTTGCTTGCTAAATTTGCTGTCGAGTAAGATAGTTATAAAGTATAATTAAAATTTTAGAAGTTGTTATACACAGTTTTAGCTTTTAGTGTAAACTGAAACGTCATTACTTTTAGTGTAAACTGAAATGTTATCATTTGTATTTATTCATTTCTTTACAAAAAAAAAAGTGTCACGTTCAACTTTCCGTGCGAAATTTCTTCTTTTGCAGTTTACTGGATAAACTTTCCTAACAGAAACTGAGGTTCGAGTCATTCTGTTGATAAAAAGGTGAAAACGAACGACGTTTAGTTATTTTCCCTCCAAACCACAATTCTCAGCTAGGTATATATTGTAATTTATGAATTCTTTCGTATATCGAAGTTAATTTTATTCTGCTGTTTTTATCTTATTTTTCTTAATTCACAAAACATCAGTATAATTTTAAAATTGAAAGAATATAACTGCAATAAAAACTAGGTGTTAATTAGAAAAACTAGAAAAAGAGAAGGGCTAAAAATATAATATTTGTAATAACTGAATAAATGCTTATGACATGAGATTGTTTTATGTATATTTATATTTTTTCTTACAGGAAAGCATTCAACATGACTAACAGGTAAACTTCAAACTAAAATAATTTATGTTCTCCGTTCTTTATACTCAAAAGATAAACTTTAAACTTTATGCTAGAAATTGAAATAGTTGTCTGGCTATTTTTGAGAAGAGCAAAAAAAAAGTAGTATTTTACTCTAACACTTGAAAGAAAAAACTTTTGAATTACTGAAACTTTAAAGCCATATATACGAAACTTTAGATAATTAGAGGAAAATATATACTTTTCAATAAGTTTCTCTTGGCTTAGTAAAGAGTTTCGTTTTCTTAGATTTAAGCATTTAGAGACACTATAACAAGTTGATTTAAGTATATTTAACAAGTCTGCGTTTTCTGTTTAATTAAACAGGGAAAGTGAAGAAGATCTGAAACACAATCCACAGGAGGAAAGTCGTAACCCTTCCTTACAACCATAAATTTGTCGTAACTTTGTACTTTTCTTTTTCTAGGAATAAACCATAACTTTGTGGTGGTGGACTGTTTTTTTTCCTTCTGGCAAACACAAAAGCAGAGCTAGGGGCAGAAATTTACAAAAACTACATACATTCCGATTACAATTTGATGTTTATTTTACATATAAACTAAATACTGAGTATACTGTTTGAGACCTCGAAGTACCAACTTTTTATTAAAATTTTAGACTAGTTTTAACGAGATCACGAACTAAAGTATTCTTATAAGTTTAACCTGTAGTCATATTACTGAACATACAACTATAAAACAATTGAGTCATTTAAAAACGCCGAGAAAACTAACAAGAGGAGAACCCTTTGACTGATTCACGTCTTTCCCAAAAATCGAACTCAGACGTTTAACAAATGAAGAGCTGACAGCTGTTCCCGCCAAGCGTTTGAACAATATTCATTTTGTTGCATTACTTAGAGTTATATGTTATTCAGTTTTTAATTTCCCATTCATAGTTCTTTACACAAGCACTTTTATTCCATAACAGATTTTTCAGACATGATTTATGAGGTAAAAAGTGTTAGAAAATACACTCAGAGACATTGAATTCAAACCTGAATGAAAGTATGGAACACCGTGAGTTCTCCAAAAGACGTTGTCATCAAACCTTTGGGTATTTCCAAAATAACACATCATGTGATGCTGTTGCCACGACACCATTATGAAGTTAGTTAACTATTTTTTAGGTATCACTTGATGATGGAATAAGCGATGAAATAGTACAGGGGTTACACGCATATAGTGTAATACAATAGTTTAAATATGATCACTATAAAGAAACAATCCACCTTCCACAACCTGTAACACTAGTACTTAACCAAAGCTCAAATCCCAAGTCCTCTTTTAAATGATGAGGTTAAGAAATGTTTAAAATCTGCATCAGTCAGAAAGCGTATAGGCTCAGATACTATAAAAGTGTCTTGAGAAGCAAGGAACGTTGATTATTGGGGCATCTCCCATTTCCACTGTCCAAACGATCTGTGACGTCACTGGACGCCATGACTGTGATTATCATATTTAGAAACGAACGGTGTCGCCTGGTCATGGCAAGGTCGTGAAGAAGGTTTTTTTTTTGTCATCCTGTCGCACTACAAATAGCAAGGTAAGTTTTTTTTTCTATTTTTGGTATTTGAATTTACTTTGATGGCATAATTTGCTTCATATCGCAATCTTGATATTATGAAATATATATATATATATTTAAATTCAGAGGAGGGAATGGCCCGCCTCCTCCCTGTAGGATGTCCGATTAGAGAAACGTAAGAAAAATGGCGGCTAACTTCAACTTGCTGTATCTTGATGAGCGCACTCTTCATTTATCAACTTTATAAAAGTATCAACCCGATTTCGATTCAGAAAATAGTTTTTTTTATTTTAATGTTAACGGTAGCACAGTTTTACTGAACACGCTATTAAATTAAAGTTCTATATGACTGTAGCGTTGCTCTCAGGAATGTTTTTCACATACGAATTTTAAAGAGGTTCCAAATCTTGTATATTCAAAGCGTCATAGAATCTTGTATATTCAAAGCATCATAGAATCTTGTATCTTCAAAGCGTCATTGAATAATACGGTTTAGAACTACTATAACGTAATGAATCGTAAGTGTTTATAGTATGATACGACATGCGGTAATATTACATTGTATGTTGAAGCTACTACAACATCCATTTTACTTCCAATTATGTTATTTTCACAAAAATTTTTATAGAATACCAAACCCCTGCATTCTTCGGTTGTTTGTTACATATTTACATTAAAAAAATAAATAAATCGTAATCTGTAACACCGTATACAAGCTCTGGAACCTTCCTTTGACAACTGTTAAGATCTATGCCTGTTTTCTGCTCAAACAAAGACTACTTTTTTAATGAACATTTTAGATTCAGAAAGTTCTATCTAAGTTGAAAAACAATCAGTCATTTAATTTCAAGTTCATATCATAAAATTTAATTTAAAATGTGTTCTTATTTACGTGAGATAGCTACGTTTGATTCATTTCAAACTTGTGTGCATGATAGTTATAAATATAGACTGATTTAATGATGCTAAATGATGCATGATAAGGTATGCGAAATTTTAACCAAGCAGTTTATAAGATGTGTACTTAAACTAACGCACATTTCTCCTAAGCTTATGATAATTTTCAATATGTATGTTTAACTATATAAAAAAGAGTAAAATGGCTTAAAAAATAAATGTTACGCTACTGCATCTCCTAAATATACCTATATATATATATATATACCTATTATTGTAGGTACTACAAATACTGTTATACACACACACATATACTATTATTGTAGATACTGCAAATACTGTTATACACACACATATACTATTATTGTAGGTACTGCAAATACTGTTATACACACACACACATATACTATTATTGTAGGTACTGCAAATACTGTTATACACACATATATACTATTATTGTAGATGCTGTTATACACACACATACACTATTTTTGTAGTTACTGCAGAAACCGATTCTTTACGGCGTGTTATGAAGAGACAGTGTAATATATATTAAACAAGTTAAAAATAGACATATTCTTTCAAATTGTAGGTATATACACATTGAAACTAGTCTACTAACTTGCTAGTTTCGAATTGCAGGTATATAAACAGTGAAGCTAATCTACTAACTTGCTAGTTTTGGATTGCAGGTGCATACACAGTGAAGCTAATCTATAAACTTGCTAGTTTTGGATTGCAGGTACATACACAATGAAACTAATCTATTAACTTACTAGTTTTAAATTGCAGTTATAGAGACAGTGAAACTAGTCTACTAACTTGCTAGTTTTGTTTCTTCAGTTGCTACCAGAGATATTTTCTTCATTTTTATAACTTATTTAACAATCTGTTAATATGCCCATTTTTTCTTGTTGCACTTATACTGCGTACTCAAAGTAATTAAGTTTATTTTCAGTGGAAAACTACTACCCAGTTATACTTGAAAATCATTAAGAATAACACCTTTGCTCTTAGTTAGGTAAAGCAAAATCCAGATCTATATTGAACTCCAAAATAATTGAGTGAACGTATATAACTGTTTGTTAAGAGATAACTCGCACTCTGTCCCATTATACCCTATACTTTCAAAGTATATATACGTGCTAATGGATTTTCACATAAGTATATATACGTGCTAATGGAATTTCACATAAGTATATATACGTGCTAATGGAATCACACCTAAGTATTTATACGTGCCCTTGGTATTTCACATAAGTGTATATACGTGCTAATGGAATCGCACATAAGTATATATAGGTACTAACGGCTTTGCACATAAGTATATATATATGTATTAATGATATTGCACACGTACGTTATATTGGTATAATTTGATTTTAATAAGATTAACACTTTAAACTTTACGTCTAGATGTACTGAAACTAAGGCGCATTCTAAACTCTTCAGTATTTCAGACTAGAAATTGAGGACGATACAAACATACCCGAATTCTTATTGTTCTATTCAAAGTTATTTTATAATGACGTATCTCTAGTTCTGTTGTACTTACACAAAAGTGCATCAGGTTTTTACTCTTATTTTAAAAATAAAGAGATACTTTGAAACAGTGTAAAGTGACGCTTTTATAAAGTAGTTCGTGATTATTTTGATTTGTAAAAACTAAATCTTAACTATAGTTTATTAAACAATTTTCTTGTTGTTGTTGTTATTTAAAGCTTTATATAACTGACAATTAGATAAGAGTGGTGAAAGGAAAATGTTAAATGATTTCTTACAAGCTTGTTTTTACATGTATATAACTGACAGTTATAGAGTGGTGAAAGTGAAATGTTAAAGGATTTCTTACAAGCTTGTTTTCACATGTATATAACTGACAATCATAAAAGAATGGTGAAAGGAAAATGTTAAAGGAATTCTTACAAGCTTGTTTTTACATGTATATAACTGACAATTATATAAGAGTGGTGAAAGAAAAATGTTAAAGGATTTCTTACAAGCTTGTTTTTACGTGCTATATTTAAATGACAATTGTAAAAGAATGATGAAAGGATTTCTTCAAGTAAACCCTATAACACGAGAGGGAAGGTAGAAACAGGTTGTTATTGATAAAATAATATATAGTGTTTTGCACTTTCTGAATGTTACACACTGGTTCACGTGAACCTTTTGCTTTTTTTTAAATAACTTTAACTTTACCGAAAATTATTTTCGTTTTCGAACCTGGAAAAATATTATGACAAGTAAATGTTTTGTGATATATATATTTTGGCATATACCTCTTTGTTTAAAGATTACGAAATAACATATGATAACTACAAACTTGAAGGTTGTTTGAGAGCATGCTAAAAGGAAGAATATAGTTTGCTTATTCCATCTATTTACTAAAGTATACCTAAACAAGATAAATCGCAATTGTTTTTATGCATATATACACTCTAAGCATATTGGTAAAGAAGTAGAAATGATGCTCCGGTGTAGAGAATTAGCCTTAGAAAATTAAGCGTTAATATTTTATTGTTTGTCTAAATTTAAACCTCATTAATAAAAGCTACTGTGATTACATCAATGATGTGATTAAAATAATAAAATCCTTTACAAAGTTCAGTTTTATCTGAGAAAAAGAAAATGTCTGATAAATTTAACAGTGTTAGGAGTAACCTAATAATGTAGTTAATAATTGTATAATACAAGCTAAACTTATCATAATTATCTAGATATATTTATCAATAAGTGCAGTACAACTTTACGAGTGTTGGGATTAATTAGATGTTCTTCTTAGCACCTGTAGTACAAATTAACCAGCATTGGAAATAACTAGAGAAGCTCGTCAACTGATGTAGATGGTACTCACTTAGAAGTTTGTAGGGTTATCTGAATACACCTGCTAGCATTTGTAGTACAACTTAAGCAGCGTTAGAAATAACTAGAGAAGCTCGTCAATTGATGTAGACAGTACTCACCTAGAAGT